CCCCCCCCCCCCCCCATTTTCTCACCGGATTTGGACAAATTAGAAAATTGACTTGGAAGAGAACTGGGGGGACGTGTCCTCCCCAGTCCTCCCCGTGGCGCCGCCACTGATTTCTAGGCATCTCTGCTTCTTCAAGATCTTCACTTGTTTCTAGTTCACGATGCATCATTTAAATGTAAGATGATGTACAATTTTTAACCACCAAAATGCATATATCGTTACAACTTTTATGGTCCTTTATACAATAAAAGCGAGATATATTTCTTAATTTAGATTACGCTGGACCTCCAGAGGGATTGCGAGTTGACGTTATAGACGGCGGTCGAACAGTTCGTCTTTTCTGGAAACAACCGAAAACGAATGGTGGAACGAAAATCATTAACTACGAGATCATTGTAACGGGAGAAAAGCGTGAAATAAGAGAAAGCACAACTAAACTTTCGGCAGGGGTTACATTAACAGACAAAAGCCGATATGAAATACGTGTGTGCTCCATAAATAAGATTGGAAAAAATGAAAATTCATGTACAACACCACGTGAAATTAAAATAGGTAAGGGATTTTGTTAACAGAGTCTTGTTAGCATGGTGGTTAGAGTTTTTGATTCCCGGGTAAAAAGTATTCATTATGCAATTGTCCGATTATAATTTAACCTTGACCCATGCGATGAAAAATACGTAACAGGAGCACTTTAAATTCGATACTGTTAATCGGTATTAAAAAGGTTTACATTTTAGCAAAATTGTGGACAAGATAAGAAACGTGACTTATCCTGTTAATTAGGTTATCAGAAATATTTTTACCTCTTCGAGAAAGAATTTTCTGAAACAAGTTGTCCTATATGTAACATTGTTAAAATACGAAACATGGTTGAAATATGTAAGTCAAGAGAATTATCTTATTCCTTATCCTAATATGTGACCAGGATTCTCGTTTGAGTTCTGGCAGCTTAGTACAGTATTTATAGTTGGTGTGATATTCGAAAGGATTTTGCCCACTTAACACGTGTAGATGTAGATGTAGATGTAGATGTAAATGAGATAGATGTATTGTAGACTGCTTTTCGAGCCTTTTTGCTAATTTATGCTCATCTATTTTAGCTCAGTTACCACAAAGGGGAAAGCAAGGTCAATTGAAGAGCAATTTACTTCACATAGTCGGTGCTATAATTATTGTGTTGTGGACCTTTTAAACTGATATTTGTTTACGCTTGACAATGCAAGTTGATGGCAGATGTTTTATCACTTGTCACTGTGCAATAATGAACCTCCATAGATTCTCCACAGATGAAACGGATGATTAAAAAAGATTGTCGATCGTTTATTAGATAAAAAAAGTATACCCGTAGAATGAATGAACTATAGCAGCGTCAAATGTTTTTGGCAATGAAAAGAACTGACTAAAAACAGCTATGCCGTAAACTTAACTACATTAGCAGATTCAGTGAATGCTCTCTGAGGCCACTATGTAATAACTGCGCATGCGCGTGGCCACCAGTCTGTTCTGACATATTACCGAGTAAGCTTGTAGCGTTTCTGACGTTTTGGACGTCTTGTATCTTTTCCTGCATTTTCTGATAGATATATATATATATATATATATACATGTATTGGGTAAATAACATCTAAATCGATCCACTATTGTTTTGCTAGTTAGTAAAAGTGGGAGGATATGGGTATTAAAGAACGCCAAAGAGAGAGCACATACCTGGGAGATGTGAGGACATGCCCCTCCTGGAAAATTTTGAAATATAAAGTCCCTTAAAGGCGATTTCCTGCACTTGAGGCAAAGATTATACCGAATTCCAAACATTGTAAAGTAAATTAACTGAACACATGATATATCACGCAGCTATAAGGCCTGGAAACACTACAATCACATGCTATGGAAACATTACAATGAACATTACAACGAAAAGCTTCCCTTGGTTTTTTCTCGACTCGCGTTAGCCACAAAATTAAAATTACGACAATTCAAGCCAACCCCAGTTCCTTTACATTACTGGATAAACAACAGTTCTTTCAATAGTATGGAAGTTCAACACTCTTTAATTAAAACAAACGATACAGACAAACAGGAATACAAATAAAAGGGTTCTTAGAAATACAAACAATTATTCCCGATAAACTGAAACCAGCTTTCCATGGTAAGAATGCAATGTACTACCTGAAAAATACAACGCGAAATTTGACGTTTCGAGAAGTTTGTAGCGGAGTAACTTCCGGACGAAGGCCTTCGCTCGAAACGTCGAGATTCGCGCTGTCTTTTTCATGCAGTTGCATCCTACCAACGAAAGCTTGTTACTATTGGCACTGCCTACGCTGGAACAGAAAGCCGTTCTAGAAACTAATACTACTGTGTATGTCCTATTAACTTAAATCATTAAAATGTTATTACGAAGTTCTGACCGAATAAATCTAACCACTCGCAATGAATGGAACAATTCATAACATTCCGTCGTAGCTCTCTAGCATATGTAGGTAAATATATAGAGGATATTACACGACGGCGCGAAGATGACTTTTACCTTGGCTTTCAACCGAGTAGTGAAAACAATATTTTACAAACGAGCGCAGCGAATGAGTAAAATATTGTTTTGAACACGAGAAGATAAAAGTCATATCTTCAAGCCACCGTGTAATGCTCTGTTTATTATTATAGTCCCAAGCAAAAAATTATGAAATTTCACGCTCGAAAAAGTCACGTGATCGATATCTTCACTAGTAAAGATATGGAATATATCTCACTGTTTCAGTATATCACTCTGTACTATATAATAAACAGTAACATTGTGTCTGATCAATTTTTGATAATTCGTCGGTTAATTTCAACGCAAAGTTATGATAATAGTATAGTAACAGTTGAATATATTACATTATTATAATTATTGGGTATAAACCATGAGCTCAGTCCCAACATAACAGTTTGCCAAGCGTGTGATAACCTTCTTCAGTATAGTACCCTGTATCTCCAAATCTCAATTCACTAACAGGCAGGTATTCCTTGTCCACCAGAAATCCGCTGTCTTCGACCCATTGACTCGACCCACCATCACAATTGCATGATCTTGTTGTATCCAAGCAGCTGTTAGTCATTCCACAAGCACATTTTTTACTACCTGGAATCGCCCCACCCCAGTATGTCATCTTATAACCTTGACGTGAAACCCACCATGAATCGGGTGCTGAATATTGAAGGTACAACCCAGCATTTTTACAATACCATTTGATGAACTGTTCGCAATAACAAGACGCGTTGATGACATTTATGATTTGTTCCATGGTCAAGCCGTTATATGTGATAGATTTTTTGTACTCGCCTTTGCCTTCGTAGCCGTTGACGTGCGTGCTTTCTTCACTGTCATGACTAACGACCGTCACACCGGTCCCATTCTTGTCAGTCATGTCGCAGAACACTGTAAATGGAGCTTCGTTTTCGTTTGGTTGAATCATATAATAACCGCTAGGTGTTTCTGGTTCATCAGACTTCAACATAGAGCATGTTGTAGAGTAATCTATATTGAAAGCAGATTTTGCATTTTTAGTTACAGAAACTGGCTGGAGTAATATTTAGTGCATAAATAATAGAACATGAGTATTACTTTAAAGTAATACTTAAATGATATCGATTGAAAATATGGATTCGTCAATTTTCTTCTTGTTTGTTTGTTTGTTTGTTTGTTTGTTTGTTTGTTTGTTTGTTTGTTTGTTTGTTTGTTTGTTTGTTTGTTTGTTTGTTTGTTTGTTTGTTTGTTTGTTTGTTTGTTTGTTTGTTTGTTTGTTTGTTTGTTTGTTTGTTT